AACACCTTTAAAATATTTAAACAAATAAATACTAACCTTATCGACCTCCTACCATGCAGGATAAAGTTTAGCTTGTCCATTAGCCAACACATATGATTCATGTCGTTGATTCTTCAAGTGAACTACGTGAAAAGACGTCGGAATAATTGTATATCGCGTTTTTTTTATATTTTTCTTCAATTTCCTTACAATTAGAAGACGTGTCACCCATGCATCAATATGCTGATTTACAAAAAAAAGGCATATATTAGTGAATTATATAAATTTTAAAAAAAAATAATCAAACTGAAATATAAGAAGAAATATAAGACTTACCCCCCCATCGAAATAGCCGTTGTCTTCAACCCCTAATAATACACCCCACCAAGACCGTTCAATCAACAAATGCATATCATCGTTGAGTTTGTATATGTCAGCGTAACACCCTTGGCTCCGCTCATGTAGATAAAAATTAACTGCGGTCTTAGCCCAAAGGGTATTATCCAGAATTCTTTCCGGTAGTTGTTTCCTCTCCACTTCATCTGCCGGAATAGTACTGGCCGGTAACTTATACGAAAGCCATCAGTCATCCATCATGTCCGGCATGTGAGGGGGCTTCTCAATAATTCGATATATTACCCCGTGTGAATCGGGCTCTAGAATGTTGGGAGGGACCTCTTCAACGATGACAGTGGCCTCTTGAACGGTGGGAGGGGACTCTTGAGGGATGATAGGGGCCTCTTGAACGATAGGGGAGGCCTCTTGAACGATGACATGTGAGTCGGGCTTTTTCTTACGGATTCTTCGCACTATTGGGGTGAACGGAGACGTAATGGCACGTGCACGTCGTCTGATGCGTGAACTCTGTCTTGCAAGAAAAACCCGACGTAGAGCATCCACCTTAACGGGCCGCTAAAAATAAATTAATACATAAATCAGTAAATAAACAGACATGATATTAAACAGTGAAAACAAAGATAAATATATTTCAAACTTGCACGGTATTCACCCAAGTCATTATTATATCATTGTTCACAAAATGCATCAGATAACATTCCAGAAGTAAGCACTTATATAAACATTTAAAATGACAACATATAGGTTTAGTGCAGGTTCAATGACAACATAAAGAGTAGTAGTTTATTCTTGAAACTTAAATTTTCAACACTGTGAAGTTAGTATTTGTCTTTTGGTTGAAGTAATGCAATTCATTCAAGTTTCAATTTGCAGAAGAAGAATAGAATCTGAAACATAAAATCGCAACGCGAAAATGACTATCGCAACGCGAAAATGACTATTGTAATGTGAAAATGACTATTGCAATGCGAATTTGACTATTGCAATGCGAATTTGACTATCGCAACGAGAGAATCGCAATGCGATTTTCATTTCGCATTGCGATTCTCTCGTTGCGATAGTCATTTTCACGTTGCGATAGTCATTTTCGCATTGCGATAGTAAACTATTCTTCTTCTGCAAATTGAAACTTGAATGGATTGCATTACTTCAACCAAAAGACAACCAAAAACAAATACTAACTTCACAGGGTTAAAGAATAAACAGTTAAACAGTATTGGCAGCAATCGAATGAATTTACTAAGCAATCTAAGTGAAATTACGAGTAAATTTATCATCAAGTTAAATATGAAAAATATTAAACTTACCTCGTTGCGTAGAGTATGAACTTTGTTCTGCAACGATGCTACAATCTCACGTAGAGCTGCTACCTCACCACGTAAAGTAGACACCTCAACACGCCATGCACCATTGTCATCGTGTAAAGTACCGACCTCCTCACGCAAGGCATTGACCTCATTACGTAAACTCATCCCGTGGAGGTAGAGGTGGAGGTGGAGAATAGGGAGATAAACGTCGTGGCATCTTTGCCGGTCGCCTATCATGAGGTGATGGTGGAGAAGAGGCTAGATGATGTGACAGAATAGGTGATGACTCTCGTTGTGGAGGTGTATATTCGGGTCGATCAGGTGATGGCTCTGGGTGAGGTGATGGTTCTCGAAGTGGTGACTGCTCATCATCCGTGCCATCAAAAAACGGTTACTAGCTTGCCGCCAATCAGTGGCAAGCTCAGCTTCCGTGGGTGTCAGCCTCTGTAATGGAGTGTTGGCCTCCTAACAATATAAAAGCTCAAACAAAGTTAAACGTTTACTAGTAATAACTTGTTTATAAATATATGGTAGTATTTGTGTTAACTTACATTATTTATTGTAGTATACGGTAGTAAATCTTCCCATTGCTGCAAGGACCGTTTCCTCTTACAGGAAATAGCCCTAGGAATATCATTAGAAGTTTTTAATGCATATGTCTGCATGGCGGGAAAGGCCTCAAATATCCAAATCTACAAACAATATAATAACAAATATTAGTAATTGTTAAAGAATTAATTATAATTTTGGAAACAATATATAAAAATTATTACCTTAAAGGCCCAAATAAAGCCTGACAAAGTGTATTTGGAACCATCGCCATGCAAACTTTTCCGATCATCAAAGGCAGATGGCAACTTATTCCATGTAGCTCTCCATAGATACGAACCACACGAAAACAGGTTTCATGCATTTAGGTCCTCTACCAATTTAATTAGATCATTAGGAATAGGTTGTCGGGCCTCTCTGCCTAAAAAGTTGGCTTGCAAAAGTATTAGAAGGCATACTCGAACAACATCGACATCATCCATCCGAGTAAAACCATATTTCTTATTCAATAATCTCGTCAAGTCTTCCACATGTAAATTCGACTTCTCCGTTGACAGCTCAGGAAAAACCCGGGAAAACCATGATAGGCGGGTAATATGTCTAGTGTACCGATCTACATCATCGTGTCCGAAGCGTAGACCAGTGATTAAGCAAAACTCCTCCCGCCCAAAACACGTATACACCGGTGGAAAATCAAACCATATCTCTTCATCACGACGTTGTATAGTCTCTGGTAGATTGCTAGTCATGGTTTGAAGAAACAGATGGGTCAACATAGCATCTCCACCCGGATGTTGTACTTTCAGCCATGGCCCGAAGCAAGTATCCTCAAATACTTTTCTTTGTGCAGGTGAAAGCTTCGACGCAATTGTTTTGGCTAGGCTTACTTTATTTCTTAAGGTCAATTGAGCCGAATAAAAGTTCTGCAAAAACAATAAACGTACCAATTTAGATATACCAAAAACTACACTGTGAAGATATAACAAGAACAAATAAAGAGTAGTAGTTTATTCTTCAAACTTAAATTTGCAACACTGTGAATTTAGTATTTGTTTTTGTTTTTTGGTTGAAGTAATGCAATTCATTCAAGTTTCAATTTGCAGAAGAATAATAGTTTCTGAAACTTTAAATCGCAACACGAAAATAAAAAATCGCAACACGAAAATGACTATCGCAACGCGAATTTGACTATCGCAACGCGAAATGAAAATCGCAACGACAGAATCGCATTGCGATAGTCATTCTCGGTTTCAAATACTAAAATTGAAAGAAACTTGAATGGATTGCATTACTTCAACCAAAAGACAAAACAAAGACAAATACTAACTTCACAGGGTTAAAGACTAAACAGTTTAGCAGTATTGGCAGCAATCGAATGAATATAATAAGCAATCTAAGTGAAATGGTTAATCTATTATTGAAAACACCAGTAAACTTATCATCAATTTCAATATGAAAAACTTAATAATAATGCAAAAATTTCAAAATAAAAATAATTAAAAAAACTAACCCTCGGTGGTTGATTTGGTTGATTTTCCATTTCTGACCATGAATGATTTCGCCGGAGATGGAGACTGATATCGTCGGAGATGGGGACTGATTTCGTCGGAGATGGGGACGGATGTCGCCTTAGAGAGTGAGAGATGGAGATGAGAATGAGTTGTGATTTAGGGTTTTAGGTTATGAGTTACGATTACGGGATATATTGTGGACGGTTCAGTGTTCCGATATATTAATATATTCGTGTTTAGAATTTGAAAAAAAAATACGCGTTGGATACGAATGGCGCTATGTAAATCGCATTGCGATAGTCAGATTCGCGTTGCGATTTACATATTCGCATTGCGATTTACGTATTCGCATTGCGATTTACGTATTCGCATTGCGAATTAGGAAAATCGCAACGCGAATTTAGAAAATCGCAATGCGATAGTTAGAATCGTGTTGCGAATCTGGAAACTGATTTGCGATACCGGAGATCACGTTGCAAATTATCGATCGCATTACGATTTAGTTGGTCATTTTGGCAAATCCAAAAAAAATTGGTTAAAATCGTACATTATAAAGCATTTTTGGTCATTTTCTCTTAGAAAAAAAAAAAGGAAGAAACCCTAATAAATCCAAACAAGCTTCAGCCCTGCAAACAAGAAACCCACCATTTGCAGATAAAAAGGCTTTGTGCTTTCCTTTCCATAGGCCATCTAATACCAAAAGAGACACACAAAAACTTGCATGCTTTTCTGAGCTTATTGTATTATCTCTGTGAATCCGCCATGGAAGATAGCTCAAGAACTCAGAAAAGCCACACCATCATGAGAACATCAATCTACACTTTCCTTCAAAACTACCAATATTTCACCACAATCGCTGCTGTCCTCGCTTTCCCTTACGCACTTTCCATCCTCCTTTCCCAATTCTCCGTCCTCCGTTCCCCTCTCTTCCCAGCTATCCACAACCACCTGAAAGCCGTTTTCATGGCGGCCGAGTTCCCGCCGTCGTCCAACTTCTTCAATGTCCTCAGTCTCAAGATTTCCCAGACCGTTTCTTCATCGATATTCGCTGTCCCTTTCACACTTTCCTTCTTTCTGCTATCCAAAGCCTCCATCATCAACCTCCTCAAACACAATAACCCCACCTCCCCACCTTCGTTTTCTTCAATTTCATCTTTACATCCCTCTGTTCTCCACTTTTGTATGCAATTTCTTTCAACTGTTGGCTGCAAATTCAACGGCTTTCTCTCTTTTGTTCTTCGGGTACCATTTTGTCAATGGTTTCGGGTACTCTTTATCTCCCAATTGGCTCACCTTCATGTCGGCTGCCGGTGCTGTCGTATATTCAATGATTCTGGCTAATGTCATTGTGATTTGTAACTTGGCTTTGGTTTCTTCTGGAATGGAGAATTCCGGTGGGTATTTGGCGATTCTGAAGGCTTGTGTTTTGATAAAGGGGAGGACTTTGACTGCTTTGGCATTGGCGGTGCCTGCGAATCTGGCGTTGGCGGCCATTGATGCTCTGTTCCATTACCGTGTTGTTGTGAGTGCTTATAGTTATCGTAGTGAAGGTGGGTTTTTGCTGGCTTTGGAAGGGGTTTTGATCGCTTATTTGTACGCCGTTTTCGTTGTTCTTGATACTGTGGTGAGCTGCACGTTCTTCAAGAGCTGCAAAACTGAGTGCTTGGTGGATCATCCACAAGGAAGATATTGTTACAAGGTTGAGATTGTTGCAGAGAGAGGGGGGAAAGCGTTTGTGAAGTTGAAGAATATTGAAGAATTTGCATAGATCAACGCCTTGAATTTCGAAAATATGAACAAATGTAAATTCGAACGAACAAGATTCATTTTCAGAGAAAACCAGGGAATTTCGGGGAAGAGGATCTTTATTTTAAATTAATTCCTTTTTAAAGTTCTGATATATTTTGGTTTGGAATTTGGGAACTGATAATTCGTGTATGGATATTCTTCGGGTGAATTCACGAGATAATATTCTCGAACTTTTTTATTCACGATATAATGCACATTCCAGATTAATTGCTGGGATGGGGTGAATTCTACAGTGATCTCGTAGGACGCCATGCAATCTAGGCGATCTTGTAGGACGCCATGCAATCCAGGCGACATACGGGAGACATACGAGCCATACGGGGTGACATACGAGCCATACAAGCCATATACGATCCATACGAGGCAATGGAGAGGTCGCTATGCAGTATTATACGAGGAGAGGTCGCCATGCATGGCTCAATGGAGAGGTCTCCATGCAGTCTGGGCGACCTTGTAGGTCGCCATGTAGTCCCGGCGACCTTGTAGGTCGCCATGTAGTCCCGGCGACCTTGTAGGTCGCCCCGGCGTCGCCAGTCCTAGCTCACGAGACCATGCATGCACATGCAGCCAAGATTACTTCACGTGCTCCTGCTCCCCGCTGCATGCCTACATCTATTGATGCCATGTGATCCTAGCTCACGAGACCATGCATGCACAATAATTGAACCATTGCTGTTGGTGAAATAATTGAGGCAGCCGGTTATATATGGGGTGTGCAAATCGCAAGAACATAAAAGAAAGATCTCACATAAAAGAAAGAAAGAAAGGGAGAAGAGATTGCAGCCGATAAAGAAAGAAAGGGAGAAAGGAAAGTAAGAAGAAGAAAGAGAGATAAGGTAAATTTTTTTATATTTAAATTAGTTTATTATTATAAATGTTAATTAGTTTATTAGTTTAGGGTTATATGATTGTTAGTTTAAGTTATAGTATACATAAATTAAAAATTATTTAATTAGTATATGTTTGATAGTTATATAGTTAAAAAATAATTAATTAGTTTGTTTTGTTAATAGTTAGTTATATAAAAAAATTATTTAATTAGTTTGTGTTAGTTAAATAGTTAAGTTATATTTGTTTGTTGAATATATATTATATAAAAAATTAGTTAGTAAGTTTATTAGTAGTATATTATAATGAAAAAAATAGTTTATTAGTTAGTTTTAGTTATATAAAAAATATTTTATTAGTTGTTTAAGGGTTTAGTGTTTACGTTTAACTTATATTTTAAAAAGTTTAGTTTGTTAGTTTATTAGTTTATTATTATAAGTTATTATATTAAAGTTTAGTGTTGTAAATTAGTTAGTTAGTTTATATTAGATTATTAAATGATTTTTTAAATATTGTTGTTTAATTTTTTTTACAGATTCATTCCAATGGCTGACCAAATTCCACTGTTGAGGCTTGACAATGAACATATTTCAAGTCATTTGGGAATAATGGTGAAAAAAATATTTGTTTAATGAATTATAATTAATAAATATTTGAATATTATTTTATGATTGTGATAATTTTTTTGAAATATTTAATTGTAGGAGGACGGGCAGCGAGTCCTTCGTCTTCGACTACATAAAGTGCCCAAGCCACACCCACTGATAGAAGAAAATTTACAAGAGGCTGGATTTTGGTATATAACATTTGTGCGAGATTACAAGTTGGTCCCAGGTTTGATCAGTGCATTGATTGAACGTTGGAGACCAGAAACGCACACGTTTCATTTGCCGTGTGGCGAATGCACTATAACTTTGGAGGATGTGGCAATGCAACTCGGGGTCCAAACTAATGGGATGCCGGTGGTAATGTCACATGAGTTTAATAAGGTGGAACAACTTTGCAACTTGTTTCTTGGGAAAGCGCCCGTACCACCAGAGTGTAAAGGGTGGCGGGTGAGGTTGTCATGGTTGAAGAATGAATTTCAACTTCAATCAAATAGTACGGAGCACGAAATTATATATGCAACACGAGCATATATTACAATTGATTGGGGGAATTTGATGCCTGATAAATCCGGTAGTTATGTTCACACTCAGTATCTTCTTTTTTTAACAAATTTTGAGAATTGTAGGCAATATAGCTGGGGTTCGGCGATATTGGCATTCTTGTATCGTGAGATGTGCAAGGCGTCATTGGTCGTGAATGATAATAATACAGTAGAAATCGGTGGATGTCTGTTGCTGCTACAATCATGGGCTTGGCATAGACTTCTGTTTTTGACACCGATTAGTCGGACTGCGGTTGACTTTCCATCTACTTGGATCATACGTTTGCAAAATGGAAATCCTTCAATACATGCCTTGAATGCCCAAAATAGTCTATGAAATATTTTCTTCCCTGGCAGAAGTTGACCTTCTTCGTCATATGCGGGCATCGTTTGAGACTTCACTATAGTTCCTGGGATAAATCGCTTCATTGCTTGTAGCAAATGTGGTAGCTCATTGTACGATGTATCCCAATCTCCATACGTCAACTTCATTGCCTTCATTTTCGCATTCCACACCTTGCCATATTTTACTTGATATCCAAATTGGCTTCGAATAGATGCAGCTAACACTGAACAAGATATCCTTGGATCCTTTTCAACCATCGCCTTCACGTATTCACATATTACATCGGAGTCCAATAGTCGATGGTCTTGTTTGATGGAGTTTCGCAAACATGTGTGCGAACCATTGTACCTCGTGATGACCCAAACATCGTGCCTTTGATTTTTCGACACTCTGATCTTCCACTTGCACTCTGGGACATATTTTACACACTTTGCGTATAGGGTTTTCTGGTTGGACTCTGCAACATGGACATCAACATGGCATTTGATGCAGTACTCTTTAATCGCCAGCGTAGCTTCATTTTTTCCTCTGAATTGCACCCCAACTGAAAATTCACCAGAATTATCGAATGATTCAATCATTTGGTACGGAGGTAAATGTGGCATGTCTGGGAATTCAGGTGCCCTCATTGCATCATAGTCTATCTCGTACATGTGAGGAGTAGCTTCATACGGTGCCGGAACTTCATCAATTGCACCTCCACCAAAAATATTTTCGTCGTCGCCCAAAACGGGTTCTTCGGTTTCTTCATCTTCGCTTGAATCATCGTGAATTTCTCCCCATCGATTTTCAGCGTCAATATTAACAACCAATTTCGATATGTTTCTCGTCTCATACTCTGCTGTTGCAGATGTCCCCCCGACTTCATTTACACTTTCCAATAGTGCCATAAAACTGTTCGGGAACCTGTACGTCGACTCCTCAAACTGACTATATAAAGCCATTTCAGATGGATTTTGAGCCACACCTCTTGATGACCCAGGAACATCACATATGTTACGCACATCAACAAATAACTCAATAACTGCTATATTGGTTGACTCATGTAATCCAACCATGGTTCCAATATCATCATCTTCTTCAAGTGGAACTGCAGCATATCTGACTGGGTTGGGGCATATCATAAACCTATACCTCAAACCACCAACTGCAGCTCGAATTTTTCTTTCTATCTTATGCTTTATTTCTATAAATGTGATGTCTTTTTTGAACATCATATTTATTGGTTTTTCAGACTGAAAAGCTACTCCGACCTCATTTTCCATAATCTGTCCATTATAATGGACAATCGTGAAAAAGTTGTTGCTCATTTTCTCTATAAATAAAAAAAAAATTAATTTAGATTAAAATATTAGATAAGATAATTTCATAAAACATTAAATCATTAAATATATATATACTATTATATTATATTAATGATCAAATAAAATTTGTTATTTAACTTGATTAATTGATTAATTACTAATATTATTAATAATGATTTAATAATTATTATTAATCTAATGATTTGATATTTAATGATTTAATAATAATATGATTTAGTCATGATTACTAATAATTATTTATTATAAATATTTAATGATTTAGATTTGATACTAATTATTTAGTTATTATTACTAATAATCATGATTAGTTTGATAATATTTTTTATTTTTTAAAAATATCAAACAAATTTGTTAGGAAAAATATCGTAATAATGCGTTGGCCGGATTATTTCATTTAATTAATTTTTACTCCTTACTAATTTACACATACAATATAAATAAAACAAAATATATTTTTTAAAACAACACTAAATATTTTTAAACATAATATTTTTTTTAAACAAAAATTATCTCGCACAAATTAGTTTATAATCTAATATAAACTTACTATCTAACTAATTTACACATACACAACAACAAAAAATAGACAACAAAAAATAATAAATTACTCACGTATTTATGCCTTCCTCCTTTCCTTTCTTTTCCTTCTTTGTTTCTTTATTCGACTACATAAAGTTCAACATGGGCAAATGTTGTGGAATAATGCCCTGTATGTGTAAACCGTTTAATTTATTTAAACAGCAATAGCTCCCACAAATTAATTTTATATAATCTAATATATTATAATATAACTTAAACTAATAAACTATTTCTTTATTATAATATAACTTAGTTAAAATAACACACTAATTAAGCACTAATTAATTTTTTTATAATATAACTTCAACTTTAATGAACAATCTAATATATGTTTAAAGACACTAACAAATTAATTAATATTTTTTTATATTTAATAACTTAAACTAATTAACTAATTAACTATTTTTTTTATATAATATAATATATAACTTAAACTAACAAACTAATAATTTATACTAACAAACTAATTAACTAGATTTTAGTTTTACCCTAAACCCTAAACTAACAAACTAATAATTTCATATAATAAACTAAATTAAACAATAAAAAATTACCTCACAAACTATGTTTGATCCTTTATCTTATTTTCTTCTTCTTCCTTTTCCTTCTCTCGGCAAAGTTTATATGTGCTTATGCTTATGCTCCTGGTTGTTCTTCTGCTTCTATCCTAAACCCCATATCATTTATATAAAGCAAAAAATCGTTGTACAGAGTCATTAAAATTTGACTAT